CCCCCCCCCCCTCCCCCCAAAAATAGAATTTTGACAACAAATGACAAATTTGGCTTGACCATCTGTCAAAATGCAATTGCTATGTTAACATAAATCGACGTTAAGATTCAGTTGACCCGTCAAACTTTTCAAAAGGAATGAATGAACGGTTGCTTGAAATTTCATATCTACAGAGCACATCTCCTATTTAAATTTTCCAGAGCTTCTGGGAAGAGTTAAGGTAACCACCCCTTTCCTTGAACGTTTGAGGGTAAAAAGCCGCGTCCCACAAGTCATTGAAACGAAAAAAAAATTCGTTGACATCCTTCTCCTATCAGTATCGAAGACTGTGATTATTATAAAAAGAGTTATAAAAGTATGTAAAATCTTACTACGTCAGGTTTCCTCATTGTGGACGAACACTGTCAAGTAACCTGACCGTTTTAAGCGAATTAACGTCTTATTTGTCAAATACATACTCATTATGTAGTATATATTTGCATCGCCGGTCTGTCTACGTTGCTTTTTCTAATCATATCGCTATTCTTTGTATTAGTTGTTAATTTCGGTAAGACGGGGATTCTTCATGGATCGTACCCTGTAGGTGCAAAAGTACATCTTGCAAAGTGATCTCATGTCATTATCTATACGCTGATCTGATAATAATAAAAAAAAAATTATCGGAAACAACTGTGTTTGTATTCTTTTTTTCTGTGTTCATTTTATTGGGCAGCAATCATGACAATGTTGTAGCGAGGGAATATTTTCTTGTAACTATAATTTCTCACCTCCCTCTGTGAAAAGCAAACGTACCTTTGATTCCGCTTTTTATTTGTTTGTTTTTGTTATTGTTGTTGTTGTTTTGCGTAGACATTTCAGTCATTCTGATTCTTATTGTTGATCTCAGATCCAAATGACTAGCAACCGTCGTCAAAACTATTATAACTGCACCACAATTCTCCGGGAACGCCATATGGTAACGTCAGGCTGTAGTTAATGGTTGTTTTAAAGGATCGATAGTGAGCTTGACGTCTTAGCCATAAAATACAAGGAAGGAAGGGAGGGTGGCTACAACTGCAAACTGCACGGTCGCAGACAATAGCGAGAGACAAACTTCTCTAGAGGGTAACACTGTTAGGATGAGGGAGCCTGCTGCAGCATTGATTTCAAGATCGGAACACATGGGAAAGGATTTCTTACAAATCTGAAATGTAGTGGGCAACAGGGCACGTCCTTTTTCAGTGTTTCATCGTAGGCGCTTTTTCTGTTGGAGCTGGGACGTACAAACGGGCAGTGAAAGATGTAACTGCTGCCGATCTTGGCTTAACAACGCTTTAACTTTGCTTCAAAGCTGTTTTCTGTATGTTGTAACTATTCTTTTTGTTAGAACGCCAATGCAAAACAATTAAGGCAACAAGAACGGCAAACAAGCTAAAAACAATGTAAAAAGACGAATATTAATTTATTAGTTTGGTTTGCAAACACTACTACAGGGAAGAATATCATGTAAATTTTGTGGCAAAACGTTATTATTATATACAAAATTAACTTTAATACCCTAAAATTTCAGCATGAATTGTCTCAATAAACCGTCTGCAAATAAGGACAAACCGTTCTCGCCACATCTAGTTTGGAGTGCTTGTGACTGGGACCTGGGAATTCGTTCGTTATAGCTCCCCGCGTACCTGAGACCAATTAGAGCAAATTAAGTCGCGATAACTCGTATTTTTGTATAGCAGGGAGTTTAGTTGAATTACTTCTTTAAAAAGACTTGCGAACGCAAAATTCGAACGTTCCAAATGTTCGAAATTCTAAATTAATAAATTTTCGACGTTTTCAGTTCTTAGGCAGGCGTTGTGAACTAGGGAAAAAAAATCATTCGCTATCGATCCTTGCTTGAATTTATTTGTCAAATCCTTTTAAAAACGAATATCCTAGCATCCCACATCACCACAAATATAATACGCAACTTAAATCAAACAACCGCCTTCTTCGGTGTCGCCAGTTAAAAGGGCTCCGGAGATTTTAAGACTGTCTTGATCTTTGTTGTATCGTAAGGTGAATAGTCCCTGCCTCATTGCTATTCAGGCAACTCCTGCCCGACTATATAACGAAACACTAATTACTGATCCCTTGGGGAACAGTCAGTTTTGTATTTCCTCGGGTCTCCATGTTTCCCACTTCGTTTATCCTCTTGAAAACTATACACGTTTGTAGACATTAAAACTCCTGTTAATCTTTTCATAAAATGAATTTTTTTCCATGTACAAATTTAGATGTTATGTGCATGCTAATCACTTCTCACTATTATACGTACGAGGGTGGTATTCAATTGACATATTCCATTTCTTCCCATAATTCATTTGGGACTAAAATAGAAATTAGCCTTAGAAATTTTGAAATTAAACCTAATTTTAATAAAACGTTCTTAAGACACATGTTTAGAAGGTCCTCGCTCACGTCTGGCTTTAGGGAATTTTCTCCATTTTATTAACTTTCCCTCCAAATTATTTCGGCTTAACTACCAGACAAGATTGTTTAACCAGCTACAACGGGACAAGAACGTAACAGATATAATTTTACCCCTGTCTCAAGTGCTTCAAATAATAATTTGTATCCTTCTTCGCTGATAGTTTACTTTATTACCTGCTGGTTTTAAAATATATTACCCATGCATTCTGATATCGAAATTAAATGTTTAAATTTACTTAATTATTTTTTTCAGCCCCTGCAATACCAAGCGGTAACAAAATTAAATAACATCCGCTCAAATCAACAGTCGTAATGACATAGGCCTTTAGGTGCTCAACGTTCGTTAAATTGTTCTTCTTCTGTTAAAGGGCGGTCATCCGTTTACATTTTCGTGTCAACGAGGTAAGTATCACTTATATGGTTAAACAATGTATCCTATTCGATGCATTTGTACTACAGTGCCACCCTGGTGAATAATCAGTGCACTAACGTTTTTCATTCATGTCGATGCACATAACTGAATTCCTAATCTGATCTTTTCTAAAACAGCATTCAGAACGTATCCGTAAATCCCATGGCCAGCACCTTGCCTTGACGCCTTTTTCACAAAGATTCGAGAAATATATTACTTAATGTCATAAGAGCAGTAACTTTTTTTTCCCCTTTTAGATCCAATGTGTTTGGGCGGCAAAAACTGTATTACCAGGTGGTATTCGGTAGCACTTTTCTATCGATTTGGCAGTATGCTGTAATTGAAAAACAACAACAACAAAAACAAATCCTGCTCTTAAAAAGATGAATGTGGAATTAAAGGAAAAGAAAAACACTTCACGAAACAAAATTGATGGTTCCTTGAACAGGGCTGGGTTTATTCGAACGTTATATTATTATGGTGGTTGTCTAGTGACAAGTAACTAAATTAAGTGAAAAATTGCGTGAACTATTGAATTTATCTGACAGTTTTTGAACTTGATTTAAGTTAAGTTCTTTCGCTCCCACAGATCATCAGTTCTTTCGTTCTCAAGGATCGTGTAACAAGGTAGTTTCGTTTCAAAAAACAAAAAAATGATTAGCAATTATTTTCGTCGGAATTTGTCGATATGAGTCGAAGACAAATATACAATATACAAATATATATACAAAAGAAACACGCATAAAGAAACAAAAATGATGGTTCCTCGAACAGGTTTGTTCGAACGTTATATTATATGGTGGTTGTCTAATTACAAGTAACTAAATTAAGTGAAAAGTTGCGTGAACTATTGAATTTATCGGACACTTTTTGAACTTGATTTAGGTTAAGTTCTTTCGCTCCTAGGGGTCATCAGTTCTTTCGTTCTCAAGGTTCTTGTAAAAAGGTATTATCATTTACAAAAAAAAAAACAAATCTAATTAGCAATTACTTTCGTCGGAACTTACCGATATGAGTCAAAGACAAATAAACAATGTTATTGCGAATTGGATAGTTATCTGCTTGAGCTTACTTAAGCTGATACCCTTTGAATATGGCACCATTTGCAATAAGCAAGATTTATAACTTCAACTTCGTATGTTGGGTTTAAGAAGATTTTCTTTTTAGCTCACGGACGTTAATCAGTTAAACATCCAGATATAAATTATCTGCGGTTTCTTTTGAACAAAGATAATTTCAGTGTGTTCTTAATTAGATCCGCCATCTTTCATATTTTTTTTGCGTCTTTTCCGACCATATTATAAGAGGTAACATAAATTGATTTTTTCAAAAACATCAATCCGAAATGAAGATCAAAACCACCAATTTTATCTAAGCCAACATGTCAAAATGTGGTGTGATGTGATGTTAAATGACGTTCACAGACAGACGATGCACTAAAATTGCTGCGATGGATTAATGAATAGTCATTTTAAACTAACAGAAAATCTTCACACAGTGGCCGGGTAGGGGAGGCTAGAGACATCCACTCCCGTTTGTACGCCTAAGGTTAGAACCGAGCATTTACTTTCAACAGATATATATCTATATTGCAGTGCAATGGTCTGTTAGGAGAGACTCTTGAACATGTACAGATACTCGACCCAACAACCCTCCATTATCCTCCTGGTCATTTATGCGTTTTTGACGTTTGTATCGGAAGTAGCTGCTGATGGTAAGGAAAAAGTGATGTTTTCTTTTTTTCAGTTTGGCAAGGTTGCTTATTTTCTTTATATCTTTTGAGATTTTGTAATTTTTTTTGTTCCAATTAATGTAGTTTGTAATCAAATATAAAGACACTCGATAGAAGAACCATTGAAGTTATTGTTAATTTCCCTAAAGCTGGTTGTCATTGTTTTCATCTAAAATGTTGTGAACATGCACCAGTCTTTTAAAACAAGAATAAAAGCAAAAAACAAAAACAAACAAACACCAAAAACATATTGTCTCAGGCTAATATCCCTGGTAATGATATGTTGACTGAGTTCTGAGACAGGTAAGGGATACTATGAGAGGGTTTCTATACCTTTCCGTGTATATTCCGCTGCAATTATCAATCCTGATGATCTGTCTTTTATTGCGATGTAGTGCACTTATTAGCATAATAAGCGAACGCATAACGATGATCATTTGCATGGAATGTTAACAAAAATTTTGCAGTTAAACGGTAGCAAATCTTTTACAGTGTTACTTGTCACTTTTCTTAATACAGGTGATGATCTCATAATAGCACATAACGGGAACAACGTGAGCACTAGAGCGATTTTACAGCAATTAAACATCACTGGCAACTTTCATTTTGGTGCTTTTTGTCCCAGAGATGAACACGCGTGCAAGACGAGATGTATTCACGGGGCTGCTGCTGACCCAGCAGAGCGCAAAAAGAAATCACCTTGTTATTGTGACAGTCATTGCTTAGACGTAGGCGACTGTTGTTACGATTTCTTCTCCAGGTAAACAGTAATGCAATTAATATAAATTGAGTAAGCGAGAAAGAATACGATAAGAAGATTAATTATATAGTTTTGTCAATTGGGCTCACAGTGATGGGTGATTAAGAAGCCAGATTTACTTCAGAGTAAAAACGGAAACATTTCGACAAAAAGAAGTTGACAACAAATACGATCAAGAACAACAATTACAGCAGCGACATCAACAACGACGATGACAGCGACTGCCACGTTAAAAAAAAAAAGATAAAAAAACAACAACAACAACAAAAATAAAAAAAAAACAGCGCAGAACAAAAAATAGCAATAACAAAAATAAACACACACACACCACTACCACAATGACAATAACAGCAGCAGTCGGCACTCAGATTTGGAATTTATTAAGACTTATTAATACATTAATTTATTAAGATTTATTAATACATTCAACAGTGGCCCAAGTTCATTTATCCTATCTTTATTTCACGATGGTGCAATATATAAAAGACTGGATGTCATTTAAAAACGACAATAGCAAATAAATATCTACCCAGCAGAATAACCTCTGTAGCTTGCAGGTTGATTATTCTTATTTCTTTTTTTTTCTTCTTCTTTTACACAAGCTGCAGTCAAGTGCAACCGAGCCATTACAATCAACGTGGACAATGGGAATGTATTAACCTGAAGAACTCAGGCAGTCATGGCAATCTGATGAGAACCAAATGTCTGCAAGGCATTGTTGAACCAGAGATTCAAACCTTATGCGAGACGCATGATAACAAAGACTTCCTGAGGAGCATGCCTGTTGTAGATGAACTGGCAGGTGTAGTTTACAGGAACCTATTTTGTGCTAGGTGCAATACCGTACAAAATGTATCTTACTGGCGAATGACCGCAGACTGTGGACGCATTCCAGCCTCAGCTCTTCCTAAAGATAACGCATTGCTGTTGGCTTTTATAAGAGAAAACTGCACGGTTAAGTTTCAGCCTACAGATAAACAGCGAAAATACCTCAAAAATTGCATTGCTACCGAGAGCAATTGCTCTTCAAAACAAATTGTTAACAAGGAGCCAGTTGTGCAAGAACTTTGTTCATACTACGCTTTACCAGTTTGTGGAGATGCAGACCGTAAAAATCCTCATTGTGCATTGTGCAATTGAGAAGACATAACTCAGGTAAACTGCATATGCTTTCCTCCAGTAGAAGTCACGACTCCTAAGTCTACAACACTACCACGTACTACGGCAGGTGAGCCGACAACGCCAAGTACGACAGATAAGTCAACAACTCCAACGCATACCTCCACTCCCGAGGGAACATCATTTGCACCGGATACCACTGCATCCCCTAGGTCAGCGCCTGCACCGCAAAACACGACACCTGGGACAGCTAATTCGCCGCATTCCTTGTCATCTGGGACAACATCATCACCGATGACGACAAGATCTCGGTCAACAATGCCACCACCTCCCACAGGTCATTGGTTTCCTTCATGGCGGCCTATTACGACGATCCCACCTTTTACGTTGGAACCTCCTCCTCCTCCACTAAACATTTTGTTTGACTTTTCCTCCAATGAAATAAGCATTCAAGGCAAAACAACTCAAACTCAAGTTCTGACAAAAAATACTTGCCAGAAAGGGTTTGTTTATGATCCTTTCATTCAAAAGTGCAGAGAAGCTTTCCGCAAAGTGATTGTGAATAGCAACACCTCGATCAATTCAATCAATTCAACCAGCGATGTCGTAATAACGCTGAACTGTTCTAGCATACAGCTTAATTCTTCAGACACAGTTTTGCTTCCAAATGGAACTTTGTGGGTTCCTTTATACGCCAGAGGATATAACCGCACTGATTATTTCTTGAATGGCTCCAATGTACTTTTGTGTACAGACTTTGCAAGTAACTACTCAAAGAAAGAAACAATTTCAAAGTGGTCCTATGTTGTATCTCCATTACAGATTCTAACCTACGCCGGTTGCTCAGTTTCGGTTCTATCGCTGCTTATTTTACTCGTCGTTTACTCCGTATTTAAGGAGTTGAGGACTCTGCCTGGAAAAAACCTGATAAATATGTCTTTTGCAATGATATTTTATCACATATCCCTGTTTGTCGCAGGATTAAGAAACATTCAAGCTCTCTGCACTGGAATCGCTATTCTTCTTCATTACTTTCTGTTATGTTCATTTGCATGGATGAGTGTGATGGCATTTGATGTGACAAAAACATTTGTATTTCGCGGTAAGAAATAAATATGTGCTAAATATGTAACTCTCTTTAAAAAAATGTATACGGTTGTCTTAACGAGAATCATATTCGCTGATTGTTTTTCTCAGAGACTAAAAACCAATCTATCTTTACTGTGATTTTAGATAATTACGCACGTTCCCAGCCAACTAAGAATAGGAGGAACACTCTTCTTAAATATTGTTTGTGCGCCTGGGGTTTACCGGCAGTTGTCATTGCCACGTGTTTTGCCTTGGATTACATGGATACTGTTACCATAGGCTACGGTAAGATACTTTATTTATTATTTATTATTATTTACGCAGGGCCCCTTTTGATACCAGCCAAGTGCTGATTGGGCCACCCTGCCTAAATAAAGTTGACCTTGACCTTGACCTATCGTTCAAATTTAATTGCCCCATATAAGAGAGTATTTTACTCCGGGTGTCTGAGAGGTCAGGAGCTCAACTCCCGACGGGGACTTCACAGTACAGTTGCAAACAAAATACAGTTATTTTTAACATTAATGTATGAGTTATTTCTGAGGAGCATGCAGGACTAAGATTAAAGCAAACCTGATCAGATGAAATATATTCCTTCTTGAAAGGCTTTACTAATTCCTAGTTTTTAAAACTTCAGTAAATAGGGGAAGTTCTGGTATTACTTGCCTGCCTAACGCCATATCTATGTGTTTTATTAATTTGTTTGTTTCGTTGTTGTTGTTGTTGTTGTTGTTGTTTGGCTAGTTTTGCCGTTTAGAGAAAGGAAGAATTGTATTCGATTTAGTTAAAAACAAATAATTGCATTGTATTTACAATTTTTTTTATTCTTTNTTTTTTTTTTTTTTTTTTTTTGTATGTTTTATATTTCTAGTAAGTGATCTCCGACCAGTTAACCATAGTAACACTTCGCTTCGAAGTTGTTTGCTTTACTGTGCTTTATCATTGTTTGTGTCGTTTGAAAATTTGAAGTTATTGTCACTCGGTTAAACATACCGATAGTATGATCGCAAGATTGTAGGATTTTAGTACGTTTTTTTTTTTGGCAGGTCATGGTAGATTTTGTTGGATCAAAAATGGTTCTACGTTACTAGCAGTTGTTGGTGTCCCTGTTGCGTTGGTAATTGTCTTCAATTTCGTAGCTTTAACTTGGACAGTTATTTCCATTCACAAAGTGCGCAAGGTAAGATCATTTCATTCAACATGAGATAAAGTTGGTAATTAGGAAGTACGCATTCTATCTTAAGCTACTTATATTTACGGAGTTGCAGCCTTAACAGGCGCGCACCGATGGCTCTCTGCTGCTCTGATGACCTTTAAACTTAGCCCGGATTTGATTAGGATAGGTTTTTTTACAATTTCACCAAACCATTTTGTAACACCAAGGTAGTGCTAAAGTGTAATGTAGTTCCATTTCTAGGGGGAATACTTAATTGATATTATCCTGGTGTGTGATTGTGTTATATCCTCTAGCATGAATCGGGATTCGGATTATAGCATCTACCCTCGTGATGTATTTTAATAGATTTTACATTGCTCGCTCTCAGCCAGCCATCGACACAAACATGTATAAGTTATATATATAATTCGCCATATTAGATTCCCAGATTTGTATCCGGTGTTATTCCAATTTTCCGACCAGCATCCCTAGCTGACCTTTTAACAAGACCTTCTTCATCCCCCCCCCCCCCCTCTCCCTCCCCCCTCTGTGTCACCCTACATCATCCACTGGGTCTCTAACTAAGCATCCTGATAAGGTATTAGACCAACTGTTGCACTGTACTCATTCAGGTCACTAAGAAATTGTCCGACCAGGGAAGTCAGTCAAGTCTCGCTCTGCTGTGCATCAAGCTGACCTGTGTCCTTGGCCTTACATGGGTGTTTGGATTTCTCAGTTCCATCGTTAAAACAGATGCAACGGCGTATATTTTTGTGGTTGTTAACAGCTTACAAGGTAGGTTAATACAAGGAAAAAACCGCTCTGCATTTGGAGACGACTGTAGCACTTCTAGATTTAGCACATCATCACATTAACGTCTCTAGCATGTTCCCATTCACGTGTCAATGATGGCTGTGGATGAGTAATTGACAGCATGTTCTGTTCTGCTTTTCCACAGGATTTTTTATTTTCCTGACGTTTGTTGCAAAGAAGAGAACTGTAGCTTTGCTGAGAGGCGCCAAAGAGAAAAATCATGAGAGTGGTCACAATACCACCACGTTTGACACAAAGTTGTGACATGCTTTGCCCTGCTAAGGCTACATGTATCGAAGTACCTACAAAAGGTATTAAGTAAATGGTAAAAAAGTATTTAGCATCAATCAGAGCTAAGCGCTGCTATCGAAACGACACAATAATAGTCTTTCTTTGCAGTCATCACACATGAAGATAATCCTTGGTTAGTTTGGCTTCCTCTAATACTTAACTGGGTAATTTTGGGTTGAATTTGACGAGGACAAGGTATTTTGTTTAAAATAACACGAATACAAGTAATATCCTACCTCATCCTCACGACACTCCACGAGCGACGAGTGAATTGCCGGACGCTGGCGACACATTTTGGCGCCAAATTGTAAGCTTAAAGACACAAACTTGTTTCTTATTTTTCATTGTTTTTTTTTTTTTATTTTTTAATTTTTTTTAATTTTTATTCTTTTATTTTTTCAGTCTGAGATGGTATTTAGAATTATAAAGGCCTTTTCTGCCGTCTTCAATGAGAAAAGCTACCCGACCACATTGCGTTTCTTGATAACATGCTAAATCCTGATTGGTTGATTCAAATTTTAGGCGCATCGGCCGTATGCAAGGCTAGGAGGAGTGCGAGCACCCAGTACCCCTCCCAACTCTTCCTAAAAGAATGAAAGCTCTTATTCCTCATGTCATTGAACAAAATCGTTGATGTAACTACCTCTCACTGTCCGGGATTTCAATTGTTATAGAGCAGTTGATGTCGGCAATCTCAGTCTGTTAATAATCCTGCGTAGACGTCGACGATACACGTGTAGTAGTTAACATGCTTTTAGACGTGTCAATGAACTTTTTCTTTTCGTAACAGAACATTAATATCGATAGATCATAACAGTTTAGTCAAGATACCAAAGTGGATCTAGCATGATAATTTGTTATCATTATCTCCAGTCCGCGCAGATCTGGCAATACAAGATGAATTATTGGATACATTTGTTTGCGTTTTCGTGTTCAATTTTATTGGCCAGTAATCCTAGTAGTGCTGCATAGAGGAACATTTTGTTTTTGTACCGTAACTTCCACTTTGCGCTAGTCCATATTTTGTTTACCGTTACTCTTTGAAGGGTAAACGTTTGACTTCGCTTAACTTTGTTTATTCCTGCAATCACATCACTGTTTCTTTCAATCTGATTCTGATTCTTGAACCTAGATCCAGCTGACGAGCAATATCGCCACCGCTACAATAACTGCGCAGCAGACGTTCTCAGACATTATTCCACCAAATAAGCCACAATTTTCCCGGGGCGCCTTTGGCAGGTCATTTTGTTGATCGGTTGTTAATGATTGGTTTGAAGGATCGATATCGAGCTTGAAATCCCGTTGAATACCGCTGGTTATTGACTCAGGATCAGTTGATACGGCGATTGATTCCTTTATGACATCTGAGGCGCTTTCGTGCAATTTACGCCGCTCTGAAATCTGTTGAACAGTAGAAATTGACCTTAGTCGGCTTTCAATTCAAAATTAATCATAATGGTGACTAAATTTATCCTCAGTTGGACAAAGTGAATGTTACAGTGCGGTAGCCAATCATTTACTGGATATTTTTGCTTCTAATCATTCGTAGTAAGCTTTGTCATGTAATTTTGCAACTTCGCTAATTCCCAAATTACCCTCTTTACTAGAAACGAGGTTTCGATATACTTGAACAGTGGTTTTTGAGATTTCACTAACCTGCAGGTAGTATATCTTATTTCGGAAAAAAAGACAATACGTGTAGGGAAGAAAAGATTAAGAAGATCTTTTCGTGATGTAGGCAAATCAATGGAAAACATATATTTAACAAATAAAAAAGCCTAAGCCGTGTATTACACTGTGATAAAACATGACGGGCATTTCAGAACATTCGAGTGTTCTCAAATGTCAGGAGTGTTGTATCACAGTGCAATACACGGTTTAGGCTTATTCATTTGCTTTATGATATAGAGGTAATGTGGCGAAAAACACTAAAACACGCTTTTTTATGTTTTATAGTCTGATAGAACATAGGTTTTCGACCAATCAGAGCGCGCGCAGGGTCCTCTTATATTATTAAAAAAAAAAGAAAAAACCTTTCAAAAGTGGGAAACAAGAGCCATATACTAGACATAAAATGCAAACAATTTGTACCAGTGGCAGTTGCAAAGATTCCTCAAGCATCTTCCTCAGCCGTCTACATTTTACACAATCATCTTCAACTAGCTGTGTTTCACTGTCGTTTACATTTGCTTGATCTTCGGTAAAGTGCATTGTTAACTGTAGTTCTAGCCATGCTGACTTATTCCTCAAGCGCTGAAAATTAATTATTAGAATTATATTCAGTTCTAGTGCCAAGAGTATATTTAGAGGAATAAGAACTAGCTGCTCGTCTTTGCAGCATTACTTGCAAAAAATTTGGACGTTTAAATTTCGGACTTTTTGCCTTATTTCAGACAAATTTCGGATACTTTGCTGAAACATGGCTAGCCCTATCATGTACATTGGCCTTGAACGCATGTGATGGCGTCGCCCAAAGAAGTCCGTGCTTAATATAATGATATTGTACAGTAAACTTTTGAATTTTAAAGTTTTAGGCGGCTCTTCTTTCGGACACCGTTCGAGAGTTTTTTGCAAGTAACGTATAACATTGATATCATTAATGGCAGTCAAATATATTGAGTCTTACACCCAATAACTAGATTTAACTGTCCGCCGTTATGCCGTATTCATTAAACAATGTTCTTATTACACACTTTCTATTGCATCTAAAGTTTATAATAAAGTCTGAAAGTATATAATGGTCTTATGTTATTTGTTTCTGAAGTGTAAAATAGAGTTAACATTTAATGATTCTAGCCACCTAATGCAATTATCTCTACCCAGATCGAGGTAAAGGTAAATCTCAAAGGCGTATAAGCTGCTATTTATTTAATTTTAACGATATTCATACATGTTGAGGAAATTCTTGCTATCACCCATCTAAAGATAAATATCTTGTATCAGTAGAGTTAAAGTAGCTCACGAATGCCACATGCTAAGCTATCTTTTACTATCAGCCATCATAGGTCACCACTAATTTTCTCCGATTCTTTTTGGTTTAAATTGGTCACGTGATGTAATGGTGTTCATCGGCGGAGAGACATTATCTACCCTCATTGTCTGTGTGAGGAAAATACCCAGATGGATAGTACGCGTCCATGAATTTTTGTTTCTGTGAATGTTACAAGCGGGCTTATAGAATAATAATAATAATCATCATCATCATCATAATAATAGCATCTTGTCTATTTTCGCGGGTAAACTATCAGCCGATAATTCCTCGACAGAAACCCCTTTCTTGTTTAGTTATAACTCACCACTTTACTTTACCGCTAGTAAATAGAACATAGTAAAACAGCATTGCATTCGATTCTGTGTAATCTTAACTGACTTTTTTTCCAATTCATCGAATAAAATAAGATGCATATAAATATGTTACCTCGATAGCTCTGTCTTTAGCCTTCAATCGCTTTCTCATAGCTTGGTATCCTACTTGCTTCTTCACAAGGACGTTCATACCTCAATCGGATTAGGTTTGCGCTGTCTCATACCACGTTGGGCACGCGCAGTTTACAAAGTCTCCGACAAAGTCGTGATACTTTTTGTGGTCAATGTTTGGGTTATTAATCAAAATGAAACATCAAGCAAAGTCAAACCAAATAAACCTTCACTCAATACCACCATCTATCAAGTATCGCTCAACTGGTCAAAAAGCCTGCTTGGACTGCTAATTACCAATTATCTGTTTGATGACGTAAGTCGCGCCGGATTCTGACGGATTAAATTTCGGGAGAAAATTGGTAACGCGAGCGCGCGAGACACATATGTGACTGATTATCAATAAGTGCGCATTGATATTTTGAACAAACTCACCAAGGGGAAAAAAGATTCGTTCTCGATACTGAGAATGGGTGATTTAGCGAGTAATGACTGAGGGATGCATATCTTTTACTCTCGTGTTCCAATTATAAGAAAGATATATATTCTGACTATAAAAAATGTGACACTGGTTAAAGGTATTAAAAATCTTAAAAACCCAGCGCTTCAGCTATTAACAAAAGCCGTCTTAACGGGTAATCATTACCCCTGAAGACGGCTTATGTTAATAGGGATGATCGTTACCCCATTTTCTCAAACAGTGTAACATTTTTATACCATTATTAAACCACCTGGTTGCAAATCAGTTTTTAAGACACATATTCTGCCCACAGAATTTATCATTATTAATTTTCACCACGAGCTACTTTCCTTCCAAAGCGCGAAGAGCAACTCCCCCCCCCCCCCCCGCTCGAGCTTTTTCAATTCCCCAGCAGTTAATACTTTTGCTTTCGATCTGAACGAGCTCGAGACAAAATAGAGGGTCTGTGAATCGAGTAGAAGATATAGATTGATAATTTAATGGTAAAATGATGACATTTTTAATAGTACATCTTTGTGGGGAAATCTCTTAAAGCAGTATTTCAGTTGTCATGCAGGCTGAATTTTCGTTCTTGGTTCTTCTGCTGCGTAATGTACAGTGAATAGCCATTTGTTGGTTAGATGGTTGGTCGGCTGGTTCCGTCATTCATTAATTCATACGACTGTCGTGTTAAAAAAAAATGAATGAAACTTTATTGTGCACTCTCAAAGATGGGTTTTTCGGTGAACAATCAAAACACATTAAAAAATACAATAAAAATACAATGAATTTGTAAGTGTAGTACTATTCTTCTTTTTAAAACTCGTCAAGCATCTTTGCTTTGAGAATCTGCCTTTGCACAGTTTTAAAATCTTTATCTAATGAATTCCATAAGTTAACTATCCTGTATTGAAATGCCCAGCAGCGGTTTTACATAAAGTAATGTTAAGTTGTTGGGAGATTCTTGTTTTCCCGTCATATATCTGTCCTCTTGTTACAAACTTTGACGTCAGGTAAGTCGGAGCGCAGCCCATCATACGCTTAAATGCAAAGATAGCATCGCGGAGATAAAGCTGCTTTTTTTAGAGCGAGCCACGCCAAGACTTTGAGTGATGGAGTTGTGTTCAAATTTCCTTGCATCAGTAATTATCCGAGCCCGCGAAGTTTTGGACGAGTTGTACTTTTTGCACATCACGGGTAGAAGTGTTAGATCAGACTGAAGAGCAGCAGTATAATATACTAAAAACAAGCGCATTATGATGGTCACTAATAGGTCAGGGCTCGTTCGTTCAGTCATCAAGGAGTTCTATTAATTTCTTAATTTGATCTTCTTCCTTTATTCTCTGAAAAGCAAGTTATGTCACACTGAGAGCTCCGTTTGGAGAAGACAAATTTTGCTTACAACCAATGGTGAAATTCCATAAATCCATATATGACGCGCAAAATAAATTGTTGTATTCATAACCTTTCGGTCTGAACGCATCCGCACTGTTAAAAGACACGAAAACAAATTACGTGAATTAAATTGATAATCAGTGCATGCAAGCTCTAACGAAACATAAAACTATATAAATGTAGACGGATCTCAAACCGTGTCTTTTTATTGATGTACGATGTTATTCTGGTCTTCCTAAATGTAAGAACCATTCGCAGTCAGAATTAATAACCCTACTCGTTTACAAAATGAATACAGATAGTACTGGCTAAAAGAGTACTTTTAGACATTGTGCATAATGATTTCTCGGGTGTATCCTACCCACAATGATGAGTTGTCTGTATTTAGCTTGTATTTCGGAACTGCATTTATGGAGATTACTTCATGGAAAATGCCAGCGTATGATTTTTATTCACGAGTTGAGTTTTCTGATACGTATCGACGAGTGAATAAAAATCGTACAAAGCATTTTCCGTGCTGTAATGTGTTTATTTCATAGGTACTGAGGTTTTTCCTTGTAGTATTTGGTTGACAAATTGCACAAATGGGGCGATGAAAAGCGTATATTAAATAGTTTAAAATCGCTCAATAACAACTAAGTCAATGAAAGCTTATAAAATTTACAAAACTTATTGCGTTCATCATATATCAATAAAGTCAAATGTCTAGCAGCCTTTCGTTTTGAATTCCTGCCTTCTGAACCATTGTCTTCGTTGAACCGTTGAACTCGCCAGTAACGCCAACAGCGCCGGACTTGAACCAGCCTTTTCTTGCGAGCGAGTTTATGTTGTTTACGGCCAGGTAATTAAACGGGGGCATCGCCTTGATTCATTTCCTCAGGTCTCTTCCTGGCAAATAATTTGCAAACCGCGACAGGAGCTCTTTCAGTTCCGTTGGTCGCAAACATTTTCGGTGGTACAGCTGACATCGCTGTAGTCTCACCCAGTTCTAGTTTTTGTCTGTCTTTCATTAAACTTCAATTACTCCACTCCGCCAGCTTACCGTTTTGTGTAGCTTTACATCTCCCCAGCACATATCACGATGTTCTTCGCACAAACGGAGTCCAAAGTGAAGAGTGTTGTTTAGCCAGAGCGTGTTTAAAAGTGCCTCGGGACTACACATACCGAGCAAACCCTTGTCGTACAATACCTTTAACTCTTCGCTTGTCAAAGTTACCGATGCGTTGGGTTTATTCCCTTTTCCTGGTTTATTTAGCTGTCTTGGATTGAAGAACTATTCTGGTTTCTCAAAGACCAAGTCGTTGATTATGCTGGCAGAATTGCCCTTTTTTCTTCAAGTGTCGTTCGAAGCTAGCAATTAAATTTCGAAGCGAAGTTGGCTCGTTCTCGGTGCCCTCTTTAGTGCGGACGGAGATGCATATATGATAAATTGGCCATTGAATCAACGCGGCTGAAATATCTTCAATTTTCCTGTCTTCGTCCTTCGTCCTTCGTATTCAGAAATCTCTCAAGCAACCTCACATCTCGTTCAGTTTTTTGAGCGGTATGTTTGCTTTCTTGGTCTAAAATAAATTCTTCAACTGAGCAAACAGAAGCAAACCTTCCCTCGGCGATTTTGTCAAAGCGTGCTGGGTTTTGCGCAACGGCTCTCGGCTGACGTTCTCTTCATTACCCTCATTCATCATTAGTGAAATTTCGTCGTTTGCGTTCCTGATTGGACGAACGATACTTTTTCACGGTGAAATTTCGTCGCTCGTACTCTTGATTGGCTTCATTTAGAATCAGTACGGATTTTATTTACTATGATTTTCGTGTAAATCGTGTAATTTTCGGGTAAATCGCAGTACCTATGAAATAAAAATTAATACCTAATAACGATGAAAGCGGGAAGGGCGGCCGATGATGAAAATTATCGTTTCATTTTTATTTTGACGATTGTTTTTAATAGGAAGAACACAATTGTTATAGTAGTGTCCCAATTATTTTGCATTTTTGTCTTGAACTTTCTAGGGTCTTCTAAAGCCCGCAAAACCACATTTTTTTTTCCTTAATTAACTGCGCCGAGGTTAGTATATATCAACCCGCCATTGGATAATCATCGAGCTTAACTATTAGTTATGGGGTTCCCCAAGGATCCATACTGGGCCCGATACTATTTGTGATATACATCAATGATCTCCCGCAAAGTCTACTGAAGTCACAAATAGGCATGTATGCCGACGATACTGTTATATATTTCTCTGATTCCTGTCCAGATATCATCAAGCAGGTTCTTCAAAACGATCTTACCAATGTTGAGAAATGGTT